TGCTGCTGCTGACTCGTGCACCACTGTCGACCTCGTTGTCAACGCCATCTTCATTGCGCACCGGTCGAGGAGAAGCATGACGGGAAGGGCGTTTCGTCGCCCACTGCGACCGGATGCCCAACTCGGCGATCACGAAGGGGATTGTCCCGTACTCGCCATCCGCGTGGCGTCTCCTCGCGTCAGCCAAACGTGCCTCCAAGGTGTCTGCTACGCCCGCATCAACTACGGGGTCGACCATGGCGACTATCGCTGCTGCCGGCCTACGAACGACTTAGTAGGTGCAAAAGTCGGCTCCTATCTGAAGGTCGCGTGTTCGTTCCACGCTCACCGCACCATGAGGAGAGTCACTCTACAATGGTAGTGAGCTAGACTACGGGGGTTGGCACGAACTACTAGAGGTGATCGTAGCTTTGCTTGGTTCCTTGATGCTTGCACATTCACGGGAGAAATCGGCAAGAGTTTCAACTAGCAAAGTTGTAATTACAGAATGATTGAACAAGCAATGACAGAATGACTACATCAGGCATATAGCAACCCTGCAGCTAGCCTGGTCGACCGCCAGCACAGCTCGGTCGACCGCCTGCCAGCGTTGCGTAGAGGAGCCGAGCCAGCACTGCGGAAAGGCGACCTGCCAACTAGAGCAGGTCGACGGCGTGCCAACGCTGCAGCGGAGCGGCTGTCCAGCGTTGCCCCGTAGAACACAGCAGTGCGCACACTCGCAGGTGCGCGCAGACAATTGGCCCGACTTGCCTCGTTGGGCATCCGTCAGCTGTTGTCTGCGCCTGAAGAGCCACATCGACTTCGGGATACCAGCCCGCTGTCGCCTGCGCCATCGCAACTTTGACGATGTTCGCGTGCCTCCGCAGAACTCGTCGAGTAGGTTACCCGGTCGACCCGGTCGACCACCACGTGCTTCCGGTCGACCACCACTACTTCTGGTCGACCACTAGGTCCCTCTGGTCGACCACCAGGTGCCTCTGGTCGACCACAACTCTCGTCGAGCTACCCCCTGATCGACGGACCCCTTCCGTCGACTAGAACCATCAGCGGTTGTCGCCGAGCTCCCCTCGTCGACCGCTGCTCACTTGTCAGGTTGACGGACTGCTCCGTTGACCTCCCGGTCGAACTGCAGGTCGACGGGATACTCCGGAGACCTCCTGATCGAGCGGCAGGTTGACGGGATGCTCCGGAGACCTCCCGGTCAAACGGCAGGTCGACGGGATGCTCCGGAGACCTCCCGGTCGAGCTGCAGGTTGACGGGATGCTCCGGAGACCTCTTGCTCGAGCTGTAGGTCCTGGTCAACGTCCCACCCGTCGCCCAGACCAGTCAGTTGCAGCTGTCGAGCTCTCTGGTCGACAGCAACACCACAGCGGTCCCCTGCAGCTCGACGAAGCCTGTCGAGCAGCTCTCCCACTGTGAACGGTCGGCTGCTACTCCCGTACATCCGACCAAGTCGTCGGCATTGCCCAAGCAAGGGCGGGGCCAACACTCCTATTCCCGTTAACAGAAAGAAGGAGCGAGAAGCACCCGAGTCAAGTGTGAAGGTGTACAAGGCCTCAGCAGGCGCAGTACCAGAGAGAGCAGACTCACCAACACCTGGAGCAGCAGCCTCACCAGCACCCAGAGTAGGAGACGCACTAGCACCTAGAGCAGCAGCCTCACCAGCACCTAGAGCAGGAGATGCACGAGCACCTAGATCAGCAGCCTCACCAGCACCGAGAGCAGCAGGCTCTATACCTGGGTCAGGCGGTACGCACATGTAACAGGAACGGTCAGCACTAGTAGGCAGTGGTTACATGGCAGTGAGAATAGCATCATAGTCAAGAGCAAATATATCTACCCTCTTCCCAAGCAGCTCCACCCAGTCGGGGAGCTCAGCCTCGTCGCCAAACTCGGTACGTCAGGCGTTGCTCAGACGGGCTAAGCAGCGAGACTGTATGTGACTAAGCGTCCCGAAGCCTGACCAGTCCGATCACGTGTGCGAATGACGTACGGGCAGCGAACGGTACTCAAAGACCCTCTACTCTGAGCGTACCACTCACGAAGCTACTGAGGTGTAAGTGTCTCGCGCGGACGCCGCTGCAGCTGCAGTTGGCCACTGCCAGACGCTCCCGACTCACCACCTCCAGGGCGACTGCCACGACAACTATCGCCACAACCCCAACTAGCGTACCACTCATGAAGCTCCTGAGGTGTGAGAGACTCGCGCGGACGTCGTTGGAGCTGCATCTGGCCGCCGCCAGTAGCAAAAGTAGTAGTATTAGCTGCTGCAGCGCGGGCAGGGCAGGCGCGACAGGCAGGCAGGCAGAGGGCGCGGCAGTGCGCGAACAAGGCAGGTGCTCACCAGTGGCGGGAAGGGCCGGCGCTCGGCGGACGGCGGCAGGGTAGGCGCACGACGGCGGCGACGGTGGGGCTGTGGCCGCTGCAGGGTGGGGCCGCGTCAGCGGCAGGTCGGGGTCGCGTCAGCTGCAGGGCTGGCGGGGCCGCGTCGGCGTCCGGGCAAGTCCGCGTCGGCGGCAAGGCACGGCCGCGTCAGAGGCAAGGCGGGGCCGCGTCGGCGGCAGGGCGCGGCCGCGTTAGGGGCAAGGCGGGGCCGCGTCGGCTGCAGGGGGCGGCCGCGTCAAAGGCAGGGCACGGCTGCGTCACAGGCAGGGCGGGGCCGCGTCGGCTGCATGGCGCGGCTGCGTCACAAAAGGCAGGGCGCGGCCGCGTCGGCTGCAGGGCGCGGCCGCGTCAGAGGCAGGGCGCGGCCGCGTCAGAGGCAGGGCGGGGCCGCGTCGGCTGTAGGGCGCGGCCGCGTCGAAGGCAGGGTGGGGCCGCGTCGGCTGCAGGGCGCGGCCGCGTCGAATGCAGGTCGGGGCCGCGTCAACTGCAGGGCGCGGCCGCGTCGAAGGCAGGGCGCGGCCACGTGAGAGGCTGGGCGCGGGCGCGTCAGAGGTAGGGCGGGGCCGCGTTCTGGCCTGACGGGCCTGCAGGGGCGGCTCGCGGGCCTGATGGGCCTGCAGGGGCGGCTCGCGGGCCTGACGGACCTGTAGGGGCGGCGCGTGAACCTTACGAGCCTGCACGGGCGGCGCGCTGGCCTTACGGGCCTGCAGGGGCGGCGCGCTGGCCCTGGGCAGCAGGAGGCAGCGCTAGGGCTGCAGGACGGCGCGCGCAGCGCAGCACGTCACAAGGCAGGGTAGGCAGGCAGGCAAGCAGGTGCATGACAATACGTGGGGTAGCGCACGGTAACCGCAACGGTAGGTGGGCCCGAAAAAAAGACGGTCCTACGGACCTAGTGCTCTGATACCTTGTTAGAATCTAGCAGCAGGAATGAATGCACTATGGAAGAGTTGGGTATAAGTATGAAACCCTAAACGGGGCTGTACCCCATATTGGCTACCCCGCTACAGCCTACACACATATAACATGCATATACTTTGACACCAACAACAATCGAATGAAGGCTGACAACATCGGCGAAATATACTTACAGTCGATCGACACCTTCTTCCCCATTCATATAGGAGATGTATCGGTGGTCGCCGACCTTCAGTTCAATCTTATCTCTGCAGCACAAATCATGAAATACGGAATTGAGATTTGGAGCAATTGTGAAAAAAAAAAGAGCTTCGAACTCTTCTACAAGAAGAATTATGTCAACAAGGCCATCGATGAAGACAAAGTCTTCGTCTTGAAATTCGAATTGCAAGGGAACGATGGAGACTCCGACAGGACGCTCCTACTAAAAACAACTACCACGCAAGCACCAACTTGGTCGCACCCTAAAGAGACGGATCTTCAGCGCTCTGGACCATACGGCTTCTTTCGTTCACGTGCCGTCCCAATTGCCTCAACCTCTGCTCACGGGGACACCGGATTTGCATCATGGAAGTAGAAGTAGACAATGGGGCATCAGCATTTGCAGCACTCCCAAAAACATGAGGATGGGGAAATACAAATACAATTACTCTTGGTTGGACCAACACCGGTGTTATGATTGAAGCAAAGGGAGTGCCACATACACCAGAGGAGAGCGGGTGGAGAACTTCCGCAATCCCAAGAGGATGGGCACCACCAAGCCCGTTCGCGAAAGCTCTGACATTCTCTCCCGGGGCTATGGCAAAAAGAGACCCCTAGTGGGCAACTCGCGGCACCAGCTAGAGCGGACCTCCTCTTTCGGATCAATATGCATACGAACCTGCAGAGGAAGAGCAAGAGGAGTCAGAAAGCATGGTGAACAATTTTGGACAAGCAGCAGAGCTACTTGAACCTATCGAGGAAGCATCGCCGTTAGAAGAAAGACCTCAACTGATCTCGATCACTGGCGATGAGTACCTCTAACATCGAGTTCCAATGGAGGGACTCGCCGCTTCCGTGTGGCCAGTACAACATCGCCTCCAACTCAACAACTCATGCTGGTTATCGACGACTCCATCTACGTTGCCTGTTAGAACTATATTGTAGGCTGCAGTGGGGTAGACAATATGGGGTACAACTCTTTTAGGTTTTCCTACTTGTACCCACCTGCTTGCTAGTTCATTCATTCCTCGTACAATTCTCACATGGTATAGAGCGGGTTCCCTAATGGGACCGTTTTTTTTTAAGGGCTCAGCACTTGATTTTTTTTTCATGCCCTGCCCGAAGCGCGCCACGGCTCTGCCCTACGGCCGCCCTTAGCGGCCTGCCCTGACGTCGCGGCCCTTAGAGGCCCGCCCTGCCGCCCTTACGCGTCCCTTAGCGGCTCGCCTGCCCCTTCGTCGCGGCCCTGCGCGGCCCGCCCGCCCCCCTTCGTCGCGGCCCTGCGCGGCTCGCCCGCCCCTTCGTCGCGGCCATGCGCATCCCGCCCGCCCCTTCGTCGCGGCCCTGCGCGGCTCGCCCGCCCCTTCGTAGCGGCCCTTCGCGGCCCGCCCGCCACTTCATTGCAGCCTTGTGCGGCCCGCCCGCCCCTCTGTCGCGGCCCTACGCGGCCCCGCCCGCCCCTTCGTCGCGGCCGTGCGTGGCCTGCCTGCCCGTCATCATGGCCCTCCACGGCCCGCCCGCCTCGTTGTCACGGCCCCTTCCCCTGCAGCAGCCGCCGAGGCCACGTGGCTTGCAGCAGCCGTCGCCCGCCCATGCTGCTGCCATCGAGCCTCCAGCCGCCGGTGCGACCGCTGCTGCCGTCGCTGCTGCGGCCCTGCCGTCGTGGCCCTGCCCTGCTGCCCTGACGTGGCCCTGTCCTGCCGCCGAGCCGCGGCTCTGCCCTGCCGCCTTATCGCGGCCCCTACCCTGCTGGCGCGCCACGGCTCTGCCCCACCAGTCGCAGCCTCTCCTCTCCCCTCCCGCCACTCGTAAGCGCTCCGCCGCACCCGCACCGCCCTACCAAGCCGCGCCACCCCTGCGAGTCGCGCTGCTACTGCTGCTGCTAGGCTACTACTGCTGCTAGGCTACTGCTGCTGCTCTAGCTATCATAGCTAGCCCTAATGTCCTTACATTCGATGCTGAGGGTCGAGCGGTCGATTTTGAGGTCTGGGTCGATGATCTGCAGCTACTTCTGCAGTGCGATAGCAAGGACGGAGTCTCGCTTTTTTATCTCACGTTTGGCGCCTCTGCTGCACCTGCTGCTGATGCTGACAGTACAGTTCACTCGCAGTGGACCACGCGCGAAGCTGCTGCCTGTCTTGCTATTCGTAGTCACCTGCCGTCTGCTGAGCGCGCGCACTTTAGCCAGTACAAGACTGCTAGGACTCTGTACGACGCTGTTGTTGCGCACAACTCCTCCCTTGCCACTGCTCCCCTTAGCCGCCTCATGCTGGCATACCTGTTCCCTGACCTAGCCGCTTTTGCCACACTCGCTGACCTCATTACACACCTCCGCACTAGTGACACCCGCTACCTGCGCTGCGCTTACTGCCGAGTTCTGAGCCGCGAACCACCCCCCCCCCCCCCCCCCTATGTACATCACTCTCTACTACCTCGTCACCCGGCTCCTTGACTCCCTTCGCTCTGTCAGGGACCACTTCCTCTCCCTTTGCCCCACCACGCTCACCTGTTGACCTCCTCGAGGAGCGCCTCCTAGCAGCTGAGAAGAGTATAGTCGCTGTAGGAGCCTCTCGTGGTGACCCTCGTGCCCCTTTCTTTGAGGGATGCTCCCCCGTTCCCCTTTTGCCTTCTATTGCCTCTGCTGCCGCTGTCGACCTCGTTGGCATCGAGTCGGTCAGCGCTGCGTCTGCTCCTAGTGGGAGGCGCTGCAGCGGCAGGAGAAAGGGGGGTAAGGGTGCTGGTGGAGACGTTGGGGGCGACGGTGGTGGCGGTGGAGGCGGCAGAGGGGGTGGGGGTGGAGGTGGGGGTGGTGGCGGGAGTGGGGGGTTCGGTGGCGGCAGTGGAGGTGGGGGCGGCAGAGGCAGCGGCAGTGGGGGTGGAGGTGGCGGTGGCGGAGGCGGCGGTGGGGGTGGCGGCGGCAGTAGGTGCTGGTCGAGGTGGCGCCGTGCAGCGGGGAGCCTTTGGCGGTGGGCAGCGCTAGCAACAGCAGCGCCCTCGTGAGACCCTGTCGTCCTAGCAGCTTCGTGAGTGGTACGCTGAGCGTGGGAGGTCTGGGGGTGCTGGTCCCTGCACTTACGTTCTCCGCACCGGCGACCGCAGTGGGGAGACGTGTGGAGGACCGCACGCCACCCTGCGCTGCTTTGGCCGCCAGACTGACGCTTGGCGTACGCAGTTTCCCGACTTCTCTGAGATCCCTCGCTGGGGTGATCTGCTTAAGTCGGGGGTTGCTATCTTTGATCTTGATTATGATGCTATCCTTGCTGCTATGTATGCTGTGTCTATTAGTGCTGAGGGTGACTGTTACTTGTGTCTTCCGCCCGACCCGGGCATTGAGGCTACTGCTCTAGGTGCTAGTGAGTCTGCTGCTCTAGGTGCTGGTGAGTCTGCTGCCCCAGGTACTGATGAGTCTGCTCTCTCAGGTACCGTGTCGGCTCATGCCTTACACACTTTCACCCTTGACTCGGTGCTTCCCGCTCCTTCTTTCGCGAGTACACCACAATCTCGCCGCTAGGTCGGCCAGTGGCAGTCTCTCTGGCTGACCCCTCTGGGGGTCCGGTCCTTGTGCACTCCTCCACAGTCCTGCCGTGTCCGGCGGTCCCGTCTGGCTCTCTGTCTGGCCTCCACCTCCCCTCGTTCTCCACGAACTTGGTGAGTGGAGCTGACCTTCAGGACGCGTGGGTTGACCAGTTCACTCCTGGAGGTCAGCGGGCGACCCACTGTTCGTGTGCTAGCACGGGCCGGCACCTGGCCACGTTCACTCATCAGCCTGGGTCGAGCCTGTACACCCTGTCTACCGTGTCTCCTCCGGTTGCTGAGTCTAGTCAGGTAGCTGTGTCGGGTCATGTGTTTGCTGCAGCGTCCCGGTCTGGTCCTGAGTGTGCCCCCTGCTCGTGTCGCCTCTTGTCTCACCAGACTCTCCTCTGGCACCACCGCCTTGGTCACCCCTCCCTGCCTCGTCTACGAGGCATGGCCTCCCGTGTCCTTGTCACCGTTCTTCCCCGGTCTCTCCCTCCCCTCCCCCCGGGGCCTGCCCCTTCCTACGTTCCTTGCGTTGAGAGTCGGCAGCACGCCGCCCCTCACTCCTTCAAGTTTCCTCCCACGGAGGCTCCCTTGAAGACTCTGTTATGTGATGCTATCATCTGCATTCAGGTCTGTCTGCCTCCCATCATATGTTCGTGCGTTGCATGCGTGGTGCGAGCGTGTGCAAGAATTTGTGTTTGATGTGGTTTGGATTTCCTGAGTGTCTATGAATGCTATTTGGCTTGAGCAGAGATCTGAAGTAACTCCTCTGACCAAGAGCTTTCCGTCGAGCCAAGTATCGCTTCAATTGGAGCACGAACAAGAATGTTACGAACGTTTGAAGTTCGTATGCTTTTGATATCTGGTTGTGGTGACTATGGGAAGTTATGGGTTACAGACTTTTGGGGGTTGGGAAATTCGTCAACGTCCCTGTAGATGCTGCCAAGTGGTTGGGAGGAGCCAAACCAGGGTGGCAAGTGTGGCCAAGTTGGGCAAGGTGGATGGCATGGGTTGGGAAAGTGACAAAAGTGAAAGTGGGGTTGCCTATAGAGAGGGGAATTGTGTGGCATGGGATTTCCTTGGTTGGGGACTCTCTTGGGACCTTCCCTCTCGTCCTCCTCATCCCATCCCACCTGGTTTATTGCTACGCTAACTCTCTTGTGTATGTATTGTGTAATTATGAGACTCTTGTGATTGAGTTAGATTCTAAGGCAGCATACCCCCCTGTGCGCCGAAATTGATAAGTCAAGAAATACTACACCTTATCGTGCGATTCAAATTGGGAATTGTAGCCACGGACTAGGGCTACAACATATCTGGGTTTGGTGAAGTTGTGACAGTGCGTTTTTTTGTCGACGGCGTTTCTTGTGAGCGCGACCATTCTGTCCAGAAATTGAGACCGACGATTTTGTGATGTTTCGGCTCCTAATCTTCATAGACTCCGTCCTTAGTCTCTAACAGACTCTTCACAGTGGACGTGTGGGGCCTAGCCCACGTCCGTAGACAAGGTCACGAGCGCTACTTTCTGCTGGTCGTTGAGGACTACTCGCGTTACACCACAGTCTTCCCCTAGCGCCGCAAGGGTGAGGTCACGGAGGTGCTGATCGATTGGATCCGCGCAGCCCGTCGTCAGCTCAGAGAGAGTTTCGGCTCGGTCCTTCCTGTTCTGCGTCTGCACTCCGACACATGTGGAGAGTTTTCCTCCGGCCTTATGCAGGCCTTGTGTCGTGCGGAGGGCATCCGCCAGGCGTTCACGCTTCCGGCCTCTCCACAGCAAAATGGGATTGCCGAGCGCCGCATTGGCATTGTCATGGACGCCGCTCGTACGTCCATGATCCATGCGGCTGCTCCCCATTTTCTGTGGCTGTTCGCGGTTCAGTACTCGGCGCATCAGATCAACCTCCAGCCACGGGTCTCCGTGCCGGAGACCACACCTTCTCTGCGGTGGACGGGGAAGGATGGCGATGCGTCTGCGTTCCGTGTCTGGGGATCTCGAGCTTTTGTCCGCGACTTGTCTGAGGACAAGCTGTCCCCCCCGTGCTGTTCCCTGCGTCTTCCTTGGCTTCCCACCTGTCGCGCCTGGTTGGTAGTTTTACCACCCCACCTTGCGCTGTGTTCTGTCCCCTCAGGACGTCACGTTTGACGATTCGGTTCCTTACTACCGTCTCTTCCCCTACCGCACTGCCCCGCTCCCCCCCCTCCGCTGCTCTTCCTTGCGCCAGGTCCTCCCCCGGTAGACCCCTTCCCCCCTCAGGGTCTTGCCCCTTCAGGTGTGTCCCACGTGGACGTAGTCGAGCCTGTCGGCGTAGCGGTTAACTCTGGTGCTGCTAGGGGTGCTGAGCCAGCGGGTGTCGGGTCTGCGGGCACTGAGCCTGGGTGTCGTCGCCTTTTTTTCCCTTTGCGGATATTTACACGATCGCCAGGTCGATCCGCATCTCCGCAAAATTCGCATTTTGTCGGTTGCTGCTTCGCGTCAAATATGTCAATATCCATTGGTTCGGCGAACGTTGGGGCTGCCCATCGCTCCGTGCTGAATGTACGGTTTGGCCCGTAACGTCGTGTTTCAGGTTGACCACGTGTCAACCCGTCGTAACCTTCGGCTGCACGTACGAGGTCGCGGTAGTTACTTTAGTTTGCTGCAATGTGAGAAAATGAACGAGAATGTTTTGACTAAGGGAAAGTTGGGTACAAGTACAAACCATAGAAAGTTGTACCCCATATGTGTTACCCCACTATAGCCTACAGTAGTTATGTCATATAAATCTGACACACCCCCATAGGCAAAGAGGGGGAGAACAAGGGGTCACAAGACCAGTCAAGCAAAGTAAAGCAAGCTCAGGGTGGATCACAAAGTGACCACACATTCTGAGCACAAGTTCAAGGCCACAAGGCCAGTTCACATGCAGGATTACATATATATATAAGGCTAGACAAGCAAGAGCAGGTGTAAATATATATGCAACAGTACAAACAAGGTCAAGGGGTGAGCAAGTGAGGCAAGGTAGGCACAAGACCCAGCTGAGTACAGAAGCGCTGATGATCACAAGGCGCAAGTGCCTTGGTGAAGATATCAGCAGTGTTGGCCTCAGAAGCCATGTACAGCAAGTCGCAGCTGACCACGCTGCTGTAGCTCACGAGCAAGGAAGTAGCGGAGAGCTATGTGCTTCGTTCAGTGCTCCAGTCTCTGCTCTTGACACAAGGCGAGCATGGCCTTGTCTACGTACAGCACTGGAGGAGAACGAGGCGGCTCTCCGAGGTCAGTCAGCAGGTAGGTGAGCCAGCGAAGCTCCTGTGCAGCCATGGCCCCGGCGTAGATCTCAGCCTCACAACTGGAGCCGAGAACAGAAGACGAGCGGGTAGCCCGCCACGAAACAGAGCCGGAACCAAGGCTGAAGGTGTAACCCTGTGACGACCGCTGCGTAGCCTGGTCGTCAGCCCAAGAAGCGTCTGCGTGTCCAGTGAGGACCACTGGACTCTGCCCTCCAAGCACAAGCCCCATGCCCGACGTACTGCACAAGTAGCGCAACACCCTCTTCGCTGCAGCCATGTGCTCCGGTCTGTGTCTCCCAGGAGCAACATAGTGTGCGAGAATGCTAAGAGGGTATGCAAGGTCAGGTCGTGTGCAGGTCATCAAGTATATGAGGCAGCCAACAAGATCTGGGTACGGGCCACTCGACTCTACGGACTCATCCAAAGGCAGAGCTGAGAGCGAGTGGCGAGTAGGCACAAGAGTGGCCTGAGGCGAGGAGTACGTGAAGCCGAAGCGCTGAAGGACCTGCTGCACCATGTGTGACTGAGTCAGGGTAATGGTGCGGCGTGCTCTGTTCCGGGTGATCTGCAAGCCAAGGTAGCTGCGCAGTTCACCCAGGTCTGTGCACGTGTGTCTCTTCTGCAGCTCGGACTTCACGTGGGCGAGTCCAGCAGTGTCAGCTGTGGCAAAGACCTAGTCGTCGACGTACACGAGGATGTAGAACGGCGGCAAAGAAGTGTCGGTGCGCAGAAACAGCGACGGGTCGGCAGTAGAGGGAGCAAACCCAAGGGCCGCAAGTGTAGTCCTCAGTGTGTTGTGCCACTCACGCGGTGCCTGGCGGAGACCGTAGACTGGCCACCGGAGGCTCCACTGGGTGCCAGGAGGAAAAGACCCAGTGAAGCCAGGTGGGCGATGCAGCCAGATCTCCTCGTGCAGGCTGCCCTGCAAGAAAGCCGTGCTGAAGTCAAGAGAGTGCAGCTCGTAGTCGCGGTGAGCGGCTATGTGCAGCAGTACCCGAAGAGTGGTCATCTTCGGGGTGGGAGAGAAGGTCTGAAAGTAGTCAACTCCCTGCCGCTGGCTGAATCCACGAGCCGTGTATCGCGCCTTGAAGAGAGGCGGAGAACCTGGCGGCCGCTTTCACCCTGAAAATCCACATGCCACTGACGATGTTCGCCCCAGGCGGGGGAACCTCGTCAACGTAGGTGCCTGTGGACTTCCAGGAAGCCATCTCTGTGTCCATAGCTGCCTGCCACTGAGAGGAGTAGGGACCCTCTATCGCCTCCGCGTAAGAGCGTGGAGTCGGGATGTCAAGTGCATCCGGGTCTCCCTCAGGGGTAAGCAGTACAGGACACGAGATGAGGTGAAGTAGCAGCCAAACACTGGAACTCCTCCTGCCTGTCCTCTAGGACGTCCGTGCCAAGGGCACACTCACCCTCGACAGACGGAGGACAGACAGACTCAGACTCAGCGAGAAGACTAGCAGCGTAGTCTAGATGACAGCGAGCAGCAAAGTCGACGAGCTCAGCAACTAGGGCAGACGCAGCAGTGGACTCAAAGGAAGGGTCAGTGACGACAGTAGCAAGGAGACGCGTGACAGTAGGACTAGCAGCACGAAGAGAGTCCGACTCCGGGTCGGCAAGAGCAGGAAGAGAGGACTCATGAGGAGAAGGCAAAGGGGCACAAAGAGGAGCAGTGGACGGACGCAGAGACATCCGGTGCGTGCAAGGGACAGGAGGAGGACGCTGACGCGAACTACGACCACTAGTGGGAGAAGGACGGATAGGCGACGCAGGGCGAGACGCAGGCTCACGACGCTCAGCAAGACCTCCAGTAGGACCAGTGTAGTGAGAAGGAGCAGGCAGTGGGGAGGCCGGCTGTAACTGTAACTGTGACGGGACAGGCTGTGGACACTCTAAGGGAGGAGGAGGACCAGTAGAAGGCGGGAGACCAAGAACCTGCTGAAGGAGCGGAACGAAGTACGGCCGAGGCCGCGCGGCGACTCCAGACACAGCAGGGACAGCACCAGTAACCCCAGCGGCAGCACCAGCGCCAGCAGCACCTCCAGCTCCAGTACCTCCAGCAGCACCAGTAGCACCCCTAGAAGGACCGCCTCCAGGACCGACAGCAGTAGCCTCAGCGCCAACACCCTCAGCAGCTCCAGCTCCAGTCGTACCCGCAGGCCCAGCAGCTCCAGTACTCCCAGTATGAGCACCTCCGGGACCCGCGGCACCAGCACCCTCAGCAGCCGAAGAACCTCAAGCTCCAGCAGCATGCCTCCAGCGCCCGGCAAACCACTCGCGCAGCTCCTGTGGAGAGAGTGGCTCCCGCCGAGACGAAGCACCCGGAGAACCTCCAGGCCCAGCACCGCCAGACGCCACACGAGCAGGCCCACCTCCCTCAGGCTCCGCACCCCCAGGCTCAGCACATCTAGGCGTAGCACCCCCAGGCTCAGCACCCCCAGGCGTAGCACCCCCAGGCTCAGCACCCCCAGGCTCAGCACCCCCAGTGGTAGCA